TCTCCTGGTATGGCAACTGATCCATCCCCCTGGTCACCTTGGTTGCCCTTCTCTATACCTTTTCTAATTCTACTACATCTTTTTTGAGATGCAAGACCAGAACTGCACACACAATTCAATATGGGCACATCCTGGATTTGTGTAGTGTCATATTGTCCATTTTGTTTTCAATTCCCTGCTTAATGATGCCCAATATTTTAAAAGCTTTTTTGGTTGCTGCTGCACATGGAGCTAATGTTTTTAGAGAACTATCTGCAAACACTCAAAGATCTCTTTCCCAGGTTGTAACAGCTAGTTCAGAACCCAGTCCTGTGTATGTTTAATTGAGGTTATTTTTCCCCCCACAAGCATCACCTTGCACTTGTTGACATTTGAAGTCCACCTGTCGTTTTTTTTTTTGCCTACTTATTTAGCGTTGTGAGATCTTTCTGCAGCTCCTCTCTCAGTTTAGGACTTGACTACCCAGAATAATTTAGTATTATCTGCAAACTTGAAGATTTCACTGTGCATTTTTTTTTTTAATGATGCCTTTTTGCTTTGGATGGCCTGCTTAGCTCTTGTTAAACCACACAGGTATTCCCTCAGACTGCTTTGTTCCCTTTTTGATTTGTGGTATATATTTTACACTTTTTCCTCTCTAATATGGTGTTCGTAAGCAGTTTCCAGACTGCTTGCAGGCCTTTTATGTTTTTGACTGTTCCTTTTAATGTCTCCTAATGATCTTTCTCATTTCCATGTACAACATTCCTAAAGTTGTATATTGGTGTGGTAGTACTCAGGACTGTCACTAATCGTACAGTGAGTAGTCTAATATAGTGAAGGGCTTAGTCTGTGTGTCTGTCTGTCTGTCCGTAATGCTTTAGGGCAACTGTGCATGCACAGCCGAGAGGGCCGGCGGTGACTGGCTGCGGGGGCAACTGTCTGTTGCCTCAGGCAGGGAGGTGAGAGCCCCGCTGCTCTGCAGGAGGAGGAGGAGGCGGAGACAGAGGCGGGCAGGTAAGTGGGGGGGGGGGGGGGGGGGCTGCCGCCACCACCGCCTCCTCAGATGAAGGGAAGCCCCGCAGCTCTGTGAGAGGAAGAGGGCAGGTGGGTGGGAGGGAGCCACTGCCACCACCACCGCCTCAGGCGGAGGGAAGCCCCGCTGTTCCACAGGAGGAGGTGGAGGCAGAGGCAGGCAGGTGAGTGGGCAGGGGGAGGGAGCCACCACTGCGGCCACTGCCGCCTGAGGTGGAGGGAAGCCCTGCTGTTCTGTGGGAAGAGGTGGACGCGGGAGGGGACAGTCCTTGCACCAGAGGCTGGAGGAGGTGGCGGCAGCAGTGGAGGGAGTCTTTACATGGCCGGCCCTGAAGGGTGAGCAGGAGGCAAGAGAGGGGGCCATGTAAACACTCCCTGAAATCAGTCATTCTTGACTGGCAATTACCTAGTAGAGAATAAAGCTGAACATGCATGGATGAACTAACCAGGCTCTGCAAACAGTATAGTTAAGGGGGGAAATGGTTAGAACAAAGAAACAGAATGATATTCCTATTATGGGAAAGGATTATTTATAGCCAGTGCGCTCAGCTCTTAAGAATTACTGGGCATAAATTTATCTCTTGGTAACTATCCTGATTTAAGCATGTCCCATTTAAATGGAGTGTATTGCTTAATTTATCTGTTATGCTCTGGTGTTCAGTTGGAAGCCTAATGTTTTAAAATAAGGTAGTTTTATTTATTTATTTATCTATCATTTATGTATTTTTACTGAAAATTCTCATTAAAGAGAAGTAAGAAATCTTCAGAACTTGTATCATGGAGATTAATTCTAAAATAGAAGTGTTTATTTGCTGTAAATCATTAGGACAGCAGCAAATAGTGAGTTTCTTGTTTAGAATATTTATGACTTGGAAAGTTGTACAAATAAATAGTAAGATGTGAAGAATTATGGAAACCAGAAACACTGAAAGAACAAGCAGACGTTTGTTATGTGATATGTATATATTCCATCTACTGGAGAACCACAGGGTTTTTTTGAAAAACTGAGGAAACTGGGAACAAACACTAGGAACATAAAACATAATCAAGACTTGATTTTTTTTTTCTCGTCAGTGTAAATATATATATATTAACTACATGATAAAATTAATGACAAAGAAGCTTAATAATGAAAACTTATGTGATCATGTGAAAGAGAAAATTTAAGATTAGGGCAATGGCTATCAACAATGGCTTCAGAGGACAATGTGTTCTGCATCTCAGAAAGCTAAGAAGTTTCAGAACAAGAAGTTTTCCAATTTACTTCTCATCAAACACACCAAGGCATCTAGAGACTTAAGCAATGTTAATAATATCCATATTTTAAAATTATAAGTATGGGCTGAAGTGCTACAAGCAAGTAAGTCTAATATCAACACCAGATGGGAAAGTACCTAGGCCTATTAATTAGAGACTAAATAGGACACCCAGAGGTATAGATTGGCAAACACTCAGCCCATTTATACAAGGGATGGAAGTCAGGCTAAACAAGTGTGTATAGTTTCATTGACAATTTCATGGGAGCTTATTGAAGAAAAGCTGTCAACTTTACATGATCTTTGTCATCTTTGGCTATACACATCACATTTTTCTCTTTCAGTACTGCAGTCTCTTTTAGATCTGACTGGAGATAGTTTCCTTGTTTGAAAAACAGGAATAATTTACAGTGTACAATGTGGTAAGTTGCATATGAAATCTATTTTGACTGCTGTTTACATAGCTATTGAAAATGCTAAATTGAAATATTAGATGCTTTCATTAATTGCTGTTGACAAATCACAAATTATGTTAATCCTTTTAGCATATATTTTACAAGCATTCTACCACTACTTGGATTTACAGTATTTGCAATATATAAAATGTGTCTGTAGTTTCTGGAGGAAACCTTGAATGTGGAAAATCAAATGGACATTTAGGGAAAAACAAGTTGATGAGCTTCTGACTTTTTTCTCTCTCTGGATTCAAATGTTCTTAATTCTTTGTATTCATGATATCAAGACTTATACGTCTATCCTGTAACATATTCAATTTCATAAAATATGTTTTTGTTAATTTACTACATTGCTACAACTGATATTTTTGTTGATAAATGGATGATCTAGAATCAAGGCTTTAATCTAAAAATGTAATTATTTTATCTTTGATTGAAAGCAGGTAAAATTTGATACACTTGGTCATGAACAACATGAACTGATCCATTAATCTCAACTGAATTTTTTTTTAACCCTGAAACATTAGGGATAACTGAAATATTTACTTGTGATCATTTTGAGTAGAAACATCTTGCTTGTGTGCAAATACATGTTAACCCTTCAGAGGAAAAATGGCTTTGACAGTATAATGGAAGCACTCTGCCAATTCACAGTTAATCTGCTACTGTTTCCACTTAACGTAAGGATTGGAGGGCAATCTTAAGAACATCTCTTATACAAAAATTAGTTACTTTGTTTTTTTTAAATCTGCTATTGTTAATTAAACAATCTATCCTCCAAGGAATAGCACTTACTTGTTGAGTAAAAGCTATATTTATTGAAAAATTACAATGGAATCTATCAATCAGTTTGTCATAAACATTTAAAATGCCTTCTTGAATGGTGGATTAGCAAATCTCTTGCTAGAGGGACCCCAGGTTAAAGTATGAGAAATAAAAATTAACTTGCTTGCTTTTTGCCAAAAAGTTAAAACCTGTCCTACTTGTGACATTTTAATGTGTAAATTTATGTATGAACTGTAATAGCCGGAATTATTTCTGGTAAATGCGACACTGCATTGGAGCATGGAAGCAAAATGGAAATATGCCTTGCTTCTGCATTAGGAAATCTCATCAAGGAGCTAGTTCTGTGGGAAACACTCTTTAACATAGGTGAGCACAATAACATTATTGGAAAATGAAGATAGAAATACACACAATAAGTAAAATCCAACAAAGGCTGTGGAAGCATGCATGCAGGGATACTTTAACTGAAACATAAGAGAAAGATGAAAGATTTTACAAGAACTGAATGGAGCTTCATGTCATGCTTTTGTAACTTTAACAAGGAGAGAGGATTGTGGGTTATATATAAAGAACTAAAACTAGAACTAATCACATCTTCAAAGTGAGGAAAATATTGCTCCAAACCACATTTACAAAAAAATGTGTTGATAATTCTAGCACTGATAATAGCTTGAAATGATCTTTTAAAACAAAGCTTTAAGTTTCAAGGCAAAAATCTGTGGAATTTTTATGAAAAAGGATCGATAGAAAAGAAGACATTGATGAAATACATAGGTTTCTACTAAACCAATACCAAGAGCTTCTCATATCCTAAGAAAGGAAAAGGCATGAACTATACTGTTCTGACGTAACTGATTACAAAAGAGGCATAGGCCCCTCAGAGACTTTCATTTGCATGTTTTATGCGAATATCAGGTGACAAATTGTAACATGCTGGATGTTAAACCAGTTTATCTCTGGATAAAAATCTCAGATCAACCAGATAATCAACCATTTAAAAGGTAATTTAAAATGCTCATGACAAACTAATTGACAGGTGTCCTACAATAAATTAATGTATGACCAGTTTGCATGTCACAATTTGTTGCACAATACTCACATTTAACCCATGACAAATGTAACATCTGCTGGGAGCCATAGACTCTAAGGCCAGAAGGGACTGTTTGAGCATCCAGTCTGATTTCCTAGATCAGTGTTTCTCAACCTGTGGGTTGTGACCCAAAAGTGCATTGCAAGACATTGTGAAAGGGTTGTGAACAAACTTTAAAAATGGATCAGCGAACCTTAAAAATGGATTCTACCTTAAAGGAGAAAAACATGGGAAACCATGGATTTTCCTTTGCAGGCTGGCAGAGTTCCAGCCCTGCCCCATACACCCACCCCCTCTGCCCCACACAGCCACCCTCCCTGCCCCACACACTGAGGGGCTGGGTCCTGGGGGTAGTGGGGTGGGGGTGAGGAGCACTGTGTTGAGGCTGGCCATTGATGTTTACAAATGGGTCCTGGTACATAAAAGGTTGAGACATACTATCCTAGATAACACAGGCCATAGTTTCACCCCATTATTCCTGTTTTGGGAAGAATAATATGGTTGACTAAAATTCCTTCTAGAAAGACATTCAATCTTGGTCTGAAGACAGCCCTAAATAGAGACTCCACCACTTCCCTGTAATCACCTTCACTGTTTAAACATGTGCACCGTACTTCTAATATGCATTTGTCTTGTTTTATCTGCTGGCCATTATTTCTAGTTATGCCTTTTTCTGCTACGATAAGGACTCCTTTACTATTTGGTACTTTCACCTTGTGAAGTTACTTACTCCTCATAATTGTAACCTTTCATTCTATTTAGCATAAGTCTCTTTTTTTGTAAGACACTTTATTTTTGTGACTCTTCTGCACTTTCTTTTCAATATACTTTTTTTTTTAAATGTGAACACCAGAACTGGATATAGCTTTCTAGAATCAGTCTTAAGGCTATGTGTGGTATTAAAATTGCCTCCCTACATTTTAGATCCTAGCCACCTTTGCTCTTTCTTTTCTTGATTATCTTTGGACCTTTCTAACAAGTAATAGCCTTTTTTACCACTGCATCACACTGAGGCCTCATGTTCAAATGCTTGACTCTTAAGACACCCAAGTACTTTTCACTGCTTTTACTTGCTAGGATAAAGTCTCTTATTCTTACAGGTATGGTCTGCTTCCCCTCCCCCCTCCCTCCTTCTTATATTAAAATGCATTGTATTCACATGAGCCTAGAT